CTAAAGTTTTGGATCCAGTGCAGCACTACTGGTCCTACTTATTTTGAAATTATTGCATTAAAAAACCATATAGTTGACTTTTAAAAATTTTAGGGGTTAAACTCATGTAAATTAGAGTTAAAGAATTCAAACTTACGTTAGTATATGAAATATTTGTTTATCCCACGACATTAAAATTTAAAATGTGTTTTGTCTATAAGTCTGAGCTACTAACTTGAATAGTTAAAAGATAAATAATATTTAAAATTATGACCATTTTTTCATTTAAAAAAACTATGATATTTAAGTATTTTTTAAATTCAATCATATGTGGTCGTGAGAGTTTGAACTTATGACTTATTAGTCGAGGCATGGTCATATAGAATAAATTCTCTATTTCCTCGTGACATTCGATTAAGGGTACTAGCTACCTTTCTGTGAATTCTCTATTTCCTAGTGGCATTCAATTAAGGGCATTAGCTACCTTTCTTTGTCTGAATTTGTGATGTTTCGTGCGGGTTGGAACTTAGGAAGTTCGCACTCTCATCAGGAGACCTACCACCTTCTTTTTATACAAAAACTTTCTGGTCCCCCTCCTCAGTCGAAGCAATCTTGAATGAGAAACTCCATCACATTATGATGATGATGTCGATGATGTCTACTCCTGCTTCGATGCACATCATTTTTAATGGATTAAAACATATTCAAAATACATGACCCAATACCCCAACCACGCAAGTGTTGGGCCCAAAATTCCCATTCTCGATCTTTCGTTTCGACCCAGTTCTCATATCCAAAAAAATGGGAAATTGAAAGAAAGAGGTCGACAAGAAAACGAGAAAAGATCCAGATTATTGATGTCCAGAAGCAGAGTACAGAAGGCATTAAACAGCAGTTAAGATAACAAGAGTAAAAATAACAACATCCAAAGTTCTCTGGACATAACAGGGATTAGAGAAGAAGATGGTACCCTACCATCTGTACCGAGGCCATTCTTGGAAGCCACTGAAGAAGAAGGGTCGGTGGTGAAATGTGATGGCAGAAAAATCACTTCCACTTCTTGAATTTGCCACCACCATGCTTCCCATGTTTGTGCTTCCCAAACTTACCCTGCTTGAACTTTCCATGGTGCTTGAATTTTCCACCATGACCATGACCATGACCATAACCATGACCATGACCATATTGAGCAACGCCGTGGGGGTAATGACCAGCACCATGGGCGACATGGTGAGCTCCATATGCAGCTGCTGCAGCGGCAGCACCACCTGCCAGCATTCCTGCTACACCGTGACCTGCATTTAAGAATATTTGGAATCAGCAACTGTATAAAAGTTATGCAATCTAACCATAAACAGGATTAGGATACTCCAATGTTCCTGGGAAATTTTACTGAAGTTTTGCTTCAAAACAATTCTGTTGCTTACAGCAGCTTTCGGTCGAGGTAATCGAAATTATAAACCTTACTTAATAAAAATAACGAACTAATGATCTAACAAGTTTTCCAGACGATTATATGTAAAAATAGGATAAATACCTGAATGGTGTGGAGCAGAGGGTCCAGGATATGCACCAGGAGGATAGCCAGCTGGGGGGTAACCTTGGGCGGGGGGATATCCTTGGGGTGGATAGCCATGAGATGGAGGATACCCTCCAGGTGGTGGATACCCTCCAGGTGGTGGATAGCCTCCAGGCGGAGGATATCCCCCAGGAGGAGGATATCCAGCTCCATGAGCAACACCATGAGCCAGATGCGAGAATAAACCTTTGTCAGATTCATCATGTTTATCTTTTCCACCCCCCATGGTATATCAGCTAATAATAACTGAGAAATTGACAACAAACAGTCATATATATGAATATATCAAATCTTTTTATGGATCTGAACATAGTCCAGTATCAATTAGGGACGAAAAGATCTTGAATATTCAGGTAAATGCAACATCTATATTGATATACCATACAGGTCTAAGCCCCGTAGTAGTTTTAACATATTATGATGTCCTAACAAAACTTCTAGACAGTTAAGAACATTGAAAACAGAGGAGAAAGAAAGATATTCATGGACGAGGACAAACTTTTCCCTAAAAATGTTCTTTAAGACCGGCAAAGTTAATGTAATATTTCTACCATGGAAATTTAAATGAGGCAAATTCAGACAGAACTTAAAATCTCAACTCATGTATACAATTCTTTTAAACTAAGGTGAACTTCATATTTGCATCCTATATAATATCACTTCTAAAGATATTTGAGATTCAACTTTCCTTAAGAGCGATGAAGACCTTGCATGACACAAAAATTGTTCGCATAAGACTAAGACTTACGCATTCGCAACCGATCACCGATTCAGAACGCATAATCAATCACCGATTGTAAATTCACGATCTCAGCATATAACACACAGTCCAAAGCGCAGACACATACACAAACACATTTGAAATCAACATTTAAGACTTCCAATCCAAAACATTACCAATCCGGTATGGAGTTTCCAAGGATCAAACAACAAAAATCAATTCACAACTCATAAAAACGAATTTCTCCATTAAAAATCCACTACACACACCATAAATCAGCCTATTTCAACCAAAAGCTTCACCTAAAATCACGAATTCCAGATTCATAACAAATAAGGTAAAATCAAAGCATACATCCGCTACCGATACATATTTAGAGTTCCGATTTCTCTCTAACACACAGTTCAAAGCAAACTTCGAATTCATAGAAAACTCGTAAACGAGAGAGAGAGAGGACTTACCAATGAAATGAGCGATTTGGTTCTTGAAAGAGAGACGAGGAGAATTGAAAATTTGAAGAATTCCTTATAAGAGCGACGAGAAATAAAATATTTTTTGTTTTTTGTTTTTTTTTTTCCTTCATTTTATTGCGCAAAGATAAAGTTAACGCGATTTCGACGCGTTCGAATATTCAAACAAACGCCTCTTTCGACACGTGTCAATCATGTATTCGTCACACTTTCAATATATCTGTTTAATATTAAATTTTCTTTTTGGATAAAATTCTAATGGCTTGATTTAGATCTGTACCAAAAATAATATTAATTTTAGATCATAATTTTAATTCCGCAAAATTTAGAAAGTATTGTATTAGTCCTTTGTGGCTTAATATATTCCTAAAATAAAATTTCAATTAAAATTTTGAGTAAGAAAATAACCAAAAATTATTTTTATTATTTTTTTAAAATATAAAATTATAAAGTATTTTTTTAATTCATCAATATGTGGACACGAGAATTCGAAGTTGATACCGTATGCTCAATTGAATGATCGTTAATTGATTAATATTTTAAAAAGTAGACCCATTTGTCTGTTTAAAAAATAATAATAAATAGATCGTTAAACTAACCTAAATTTTAATTCATAGATTTTACAAAAAAAAAAAAAAGAAAAAAGAACCAAATATCCTAAAATAAAATAAATTTGATGGAATCAACTTGGAAAGGCCATCAAGAACGTGAATAAATGCCATCCCCACATACCATGATCAAGACATGAAATTTCAAATAAATAAATATCTCAAGAGAGGCCCACTTCGGGGGATGGCTTTATAGAGCTTTGACTTTTCGAGCATATCTACATGAAAGTATATCTACATAAAAAGCCCACTACTAGTAGATACTGTTTGCTTTAACCCGTTATGTATTGCCGTCGATCTCACGGTTTTAAAATGCATCTACTAGAGAAAGATTTTCAACTCTTATGAAGAATATTTTGTTCTCCTATCCAATTAACACGACAATTGGTTCATTAAATATTTATTGGACACATGTTAAAAATTTATTGGATGAAAAATTGAAAGCTCAAGAATCTATTGGACATGGCAGGCAAACTCAAAATTTAGAGATTAAATTGATAATTTAATTAATACCGTAAAAGAAAATCTAGAAGGGATTTTTTTTTCGAGTACATCCAAAATAATTAATTTATTTGGTAAAAGAATATGTGATTTGTGGTGTGGTGGTTGGTTGGTTTGGACCTTTGGATATATAATTACTACAATTTATGAGTAATTTACAAGTTAATTCTGTTTAGAAATTAAAGCCTGGTTGAAAATTAAGAGTGGAATTGGATTTAGTCAAAAAAGATACACTATTGTTATTAAGTTTATTCAAGTTGAAAATTATTTTAACTTTATATTTAATATTCGATTATTTAAATTAAGCCTCTTGTGATTTCATTAAAGTAGATGAGGTGAGGTGCGGTGGCCGATTTTGATAAATGGGAATATAAAATTATATAAAATACAAAATGACGTTTCTTTTTATCCCTTCCTTTCAAATTTTCAATTTGAACCTCAATAGAGCACGAATACGTTATTTTTAATAGATATTTCTTTTTACAATATTCCTATTATTGATATTTGTTGCAAAATTCATTAATTCTATTGGCAAATAGTTAAATAGTAATAACTCAATGATGAATGGCCTTGGACTCGATTTTTGGTTGGAGTGAATGTTGAATGGTCGTCGAGTTTGAACTTTTGACCTTAGAAGATTTTGGCTCGTGGGGACGAATGTTATAGATAAGAAGGAACAATAGAGCAAAAAGGTCAAATATATCTTCATTGTTTTCATCCCTATCCTCGGAGAATAATTTTTTACTTTTTTTATTCATTATTTCTAATCAACTTTTTCACATTTAATCACTTTTTTAAAATTAATAAATACAAAAATTAACAACAAATATTATACCATTGACCAAACAGGTGAACGATCGAAATTCCCTTGGATACATTCCCATTTCATTTCCTAAAATTATAAGACCAAAATAAACTCTCTATCCTCAACTACATTTACGTCTCAATAGGGAATGGGATGGACCCGTTCCCATGGGAGTTTCCATCTATGCCTAGACTCCTGAAATAAAAAATTTAAATGGGTGACAATTCATGTTCCTAGAACTCTAATTTTGCCAATATGGCAATCTTTCTAAATCATTTGGTTACCTACTTAAGACACTTTTACATTTTTTTTTTTTACATAGTACATCTATCACTACTACAATGATAGATGTAAATTAATGAAACATTCTATCAATAATATACCTCTATCACAACAAGTAAAGGTTGGTCTAGAGATCAATTAGAAAAAAATTACCTAGAATGAGTAAACCAATGTATGACTACCTAAGATTTAATATCCAACAAGTTACCTCGACAACTAAATATGGAGGGATCAATGGGCTGTTTCACAAGAATAGTCGATCTGCTGAAGCTGGTAGATGTCAAAGATCAATAATGATAACATTAATAATATTAATAGATAGTAAGATCAATTGGATTTGCTTTTTTTTTTTTTTTTACCTTCTTTTCTCTCGCAAATCTAAAATGTTGTTATGACTGGAAGCAGCCTTTAAGAAATTCATGTCTCGTGGGCCGTAGGATCCATTCCGTGGAGAAAGATTAGGATCCATACCCACAAGGGCCTAGGAGCAAAGGGGCAAAACGTAATTTTTATTGGTAATATGGTCAATTGGGAGAGAGAATTTACCTTGGTTAAAAACCGACCACTGGCCATTGCCATTGATGTCGGTTCTCGAACCAACCAATGGTCTACATCTAGTTAATTGATCGGCTTTTTACCTGCGGAATAATTTTTTAAAAAATCAATGCCAAAAGTAGAAATGAGAGATCAAATTGAATTGGATGAACAATTGCATTAAAATTCATTTAATAGAAAACCCTAAGATAACCATTTACATCAATATATTAATTTAAACCCAAAACTAATACATGACAATTGTGAGCAACTTACCCCCCAAGTCACCATTCACTTTTAATCTATAAATCTGCTCTAAAGGTTGGGGGATGTATTGAGCTCAAAACTGAGGAACCTTACAACTTTAAGAAGAAGTCGAACCTATATTAGATAGGTCCGTTTCCTTATCCTTCGATATAAGCACAAAAACTTATGCTATAAAACTCACATTTTATATCAACTAACTAACCTTTACAACACTTTTTACAAGAAACAAGGATTAATATTCCACAAAAAAGGAAGAGAACAACCTAAGGGCCATAGGTAGATGGAATCCGAGCCCAAGGAACTACCAAAAGAGAAAAATAATTGATAGTGAGACTATTCAGGACGGACTTTGCCAAAATCAATCTCCTAGCTTTTGAAAGAAGTCGGGTTCTCTCCCTCTCTCTCTCATTTATCTAACTTAGCCTTGCTTTGTCCTCAAGCGAATCCCTGAAAGCAAACGATCGAAAATTTCCTCCTAAAGGGAAGCTTAGATAATTACAAGGCAGTCTTTCCACAATGTAGTTGATATTCAACCTTTTGGATGTTGATGTTGGTGCCTATGAGGGGCAGTTTTCGCCTTACTCATAGCTAGTCCCAAACCAAGAAGCAACAGATTTATGATGGACTACCAAGCTTTTAACATTCCCATCTACATTATCACAAAAGAAAAGCATGTCATTTGAGAAAAGCATGTCATTTGAAAGCGGGTAGTTTCTACCGACGGGTTTCTGACCAAGAATTCCCTCAAAACTCTATAAATTCGTGAACCAAACACATGTCCAGAGATACAAGCTTCTATAACTTATTCCTTTGTACAATCCAAATTTCTTAACTAAGACATACTAAAATCATAAGCAAAACGCACCTAGAGAACTTTCTAGGCATATATTCAACACACGTCCACCCCTAAAAATCTAAACTCAATACCCTTTGGAAGTCATTTCATGGAAATAAATAAAGAAAAAGAAGAAAAGGGAATCCTAAAAGTAGAGGCATTAGATCAGTGGGACCATGGCAATATAATCAAACATGGGGCCTGGATTCTCTGCGGCAGTCTGCCAGTGTCTAGTGATAAATTTAGACCGTCCACTCTTAATGGGTGCTCTTTTTCACTTTCTTTTTGTTACTAAAAAATGATAGATTAAAAATGAACCTAGATTGTCCAATTAAAAAGAAAAATAAGTAGATGGCCTACAAGAAACCAGAGCGAATCCAGATAGATTATGGATGTCATGAGTGCCAAGGTCATAAATTTCAGGTCAGATCAGCATATGCTATAAAGTAAAGGGAAGATAATCTATTCTTCCAGATTCAGCAAAAGTAGGATTTCAGGTCAGAACAACCCACAAGCGCACTTGAAATAAAGATGTCAAGATGAACGAAAAGCAAAACATGGAATTAGCAGAGAGACACTTTCTAATCAGTCCTTCACAGATGAATTTATTAAATGAGGCTCACAGGTAAGGCCGCTAGTGCGAGTCTAACAAAACCACAGAGCAGCTTCTAGTTCCATTCAAGAACTCAAAAGGCACACCCCTGCTGCAGTGACAGTGATATTGATTAGACTAAGCAAGATCAAAATCTGAAAAGCACAAGACTTTTGAAGAGGAATAGAAGAGTATAAAGAAGTAACCAAAATGGTCAGAGCCTATCCACTTTGACCTCGTTTGATCTCATGCCTAACATGTAGGAAAAGGGGAAAAAAATCATGTATATATAGAACATGGTTAAAGCTTAGCAAGGTATTGTCTGAATAAACATAAATCAGAAAAGAAAAAGAGCAACGATGAAGGAAATGGATGAACAAAATCAGTGCAGAGGGATTCAGATTTAGGTTATGGACATAGATTCAGTGATTTCACGTGTTAAACATGAAATGAACAATGGAAAATCAAGGCAAATCCCTGATGACCAGATATCTTTTTGATGTTCCATTTCCATATTTCTTAGACTTGGATCATTGAATTGGGGTAGAGAGAATTTTGTTAACCTCTGGCATCCCAACTCTGTCTTTACCATGTAGTGATGCTTTTAAGCTTTCCTCCTAGATCTCGTCCTTTCTGATCTCAGGGCTCTGCATACCAAAGAACTTTTCAACACATCTACCATATCGAAAAGAAATGCACTGCAAATATTTCTATCTTTTACAGAACAAGCCAAATCTACAATTAACGTGCGGCTAAAAAAATTGATTGGGAACAGAAATTCAAGCAAGAACAATCCTATTTCAAGGATGAAATCTAAAACTTTAAAACCAATAACTAAAAGGTATCGTGAGAAATAATTCCAGTGTTTTAGGAGTATGCCAATAATTTAAAGCAACATTTGTTTGATTGTAAGATTTGCTTCCATCCAGTTTGACCAGTTTGAGTTCTTCAGGATCTCCAAGTTTGAACCGACCTTCTCCCCTTCTCTTCCCGAAGGAATAGTTAACTCAAATTCTCAACATACTAGATACCTGTTATAACACTTTCTTTATCTTTCAGTAATCAGAACACAGAAATTTTTCATCTGCTCAAACAAACAAACCACTAAATTAATGAATCTCTTTTACTTCTCTCCAATTCCAGTCTCCCCTTTTCTCCCATAGGCGTTTGTCAATTTCTGCACTACAGTCACATTCTTCCTTTTCTTTCAAAAGTACAACTACCACCTGCCACAAATCATTAATCTTAAAGGCTTAAAAGTTGCCCCACAACATAGTTCAACATTAAGATTGGAATATTATCTTACCAATCACTCTCAACCAACTTGTCTCTCTCCACTTGAACCCCATTCATTAAGAGGGAAATTTATAACTTTCAATAGAAAAATAATTCTACTCAATGTCGTATCTTAAGGCAATATGATGATACGAATACTAAGGTAGTGGGAACAAGAATACAGCAGATAGATCCCCTATTAGCAAAGAATTTTTACTCAACTAATCTGATAACAGAATATAACGTCTGAATAAGGATTTACATTAATGCAGTACCTAAAAGTCAGCACTAGATAAGACAATAGCAATCAAAAGATGTGTTTCGAAGCAAACAAACGTACAATGCAACTGATGAAAGTGATGTATTAACAAGAATTTACATAAACTAAAGACAAGTTCACAACAAGCAATAATAACAGCGATACATATACATCAGTACAAACTAGAAAGTAGAGGAAAAAGAGGCTGATCATAAAGAACGGGAAACAGAAAGTAGTTGAACTCAGAAATTGAATCTCACATATACAATATATTAGGTTTTCCTCATCGGAACATCACAACATAATAACCTAAGATCCAATACTTGAAGAAAGGGTAACCGTTCCTGAAATTGCCGAGTCGTAAAATTTTTCGAAAGGTATGAGGCAGACAATTTTATCAGCCACTAGTAACTTAAAAATACTACAAAATCATGAACAAGAGATGAACCTGAGGTTGATCGAGCTTGAGGAACGTAGAAATTAAGATCGGAATTTCGCCGCGGGAAGAAACGAGAAGAATGCCGCGGAACTTGCAGAGATGAATATGCACATCCATTTACTCTCGGTAATGAATTTGCCCTAACCTAAAAAATTACTAATAATAAAGTTAAAAAAAAAAAAAAAAAAACTAAATTGTTATTTTTTAAAAAATTTACACAATTTTAGTCGTATTATTTTTTAATATCTATAATTAAATTTCAATATTGTAAAATTTTCCTATTTAATAAGACATCAAACATAAACTAAATTAGGATATCACACAATTGAACTTATATAGTAATTAAATTTTTTTATTATATTTATATGACATAATTTGTTGATTCCACGAGCTATATTATCAAAATTTGTCATGTTTACTTGTATCTCAAATGTTATAATTCAATCTCTCAATCAACTTCAATAAATAAATAAATAAATATATATATATATATATATATATATATATATATATATATATATATATATATATATATATATATATATATATATATATATATATATTCAAATTTCATGAATATTTTTCTAATACAATCTTAAAGATAAAAATCTTTTTAAACAAAAGTTTGTTTTTTAAATTAAATATTAACCATTTTTGTCCAAAATTAATATTTTTAGAATTTTTTAAAAATTTAAACATATTTAAAAGATTATAAATATTTTTTTTTTAAAAAAAATATAACGTTTACGAGTATTTTTATTAATTTAGACATAATTTTGAAAAAAATGTTGAGAGCCCAAGAGAAGCCCAAATCAAACGACATGTCGGCGCAGGTCTCATGCTTACGTAAGAGTGATTTCGTGATTGTGCGCGCGTGCCTTTTAAGCTAAATATTATCGTTGTTAGTATTATTATTATGATAAACTTAGATATACCTTTTTCCAATTATCAATTATTCCTTTTTTTCCCACTTGCAATAGTTGCAAACAAAACCTAAAATATTTATTAATTTATTTATTTATTTTATTCATATTGCGCCGACAAGTCTCACTTATTTATTTATATAATCACTTACGATTAAATTATTGGTCGTGTTTATGGATTAGGTTTAATCAGATATTTTTTAGATTCAACTCAATTATTGGGGTCGCAAAATTTTCAACCTAACAATAATCTCAACTAACCCAATCATAAATTTTTTTAAATTCGGTTGGTTTTTTTATTTTTAAATATTTAATTAATATTTACGATCCAATTTGAATATATATTTTTAAAAATTATGAATTTATGGAAACGTATGAACCAATCCAATTTTAATTTTTGGAGTTATCGAGTTTTTTGAATATTTCAGACCACTAATTCAAATGACATCATATGCAAGTTATGGGAATATTTGCTATATGACTCACCATTAGATTAATCGTGGCCAACCTAAAATGGCATAAATAAAAAAAATGGGGATACGTTTTTGCATTTCACCGACCACTTTTATTTGGAATAGATCCTCTTCTTAGCTCGAATATTCTTTGACATCACTAGGGTATTTCATCATAAATTTCATCTTTGAATTCGAGGGTAAAAAGCTCGCTTGTTATACGGGATTCGACGTATCCAACCGAATGAAGCAGCATTTCATTTTTTTTTTGGGGCATCTTTTTGCTACACTACACGGCATGAATGACGGGTGAAGTTGAAGCAGATACAATCAATGTAAAAAATCTTTCTCGAGCTCAAGTACGGACAACTCGTGCTACTTTGAAATTCGATAGATGTTATAAATAATTGTCATCTACCTTCTCTTTTTAGATCAAGGTACTCATCTCAATCCCAATCACCATGTTGCAAATTCCTCTTAGTTTACATTATCTTTACGAGCACTAATTCAACTCGAACTCTTTCATTAGGGTTTTTATCTCTATCATGATTCTTATAATATCTTAGACAATCTCTTCTAATCTAATAAAGAATCTTACTGATTTCACGTGAAATGATGTTAGGAGGCGTGTTAAGTTGGGTCGAATAAACAGACAAAATCCATCAAACAATTCGATCATGTCATTTGATCCCACTTGAGAATGGTTAGTCGAGTTTGTTGGACAAGAAAGTAGCCGTTTTTTAAAGTATACACCCTAGATGTAGGGATAGAGAAACAATTATAAGCGTGTTGAAAATAAGAAAATATATGACATTTAAAATTATAAGTTTCTCTTTTTCAACAATTTGTACGATCTGAGAAAGTAAGATTTAATTAAATATTTAAAGACAAGAACATGTGTTTGAGATTCGAACCACTCTATAAGCAAGATCAGCCCTATTAAACTTGAATTATTCTAAACATGCAACTTAAATTATATAGAACAGTAAACAAACTTATTCATTAGCTGAATGAAACCACAAATACTCTTTTTACTGTAATTTTCAAGTCTACTTTAGATAGCTTAATATAGTCTCAAAATGAGAACTCTTGACCCGGGGAGGTTCAAGGGTTGTGACCATTTTATTCGACACTTTAGTCACTTTTGACTATACCTACGAGGCTCACAATTCTTTGTTCGATATTTGAGAATTCTATTGTCATGGTTAAGTTTAGGGCATGACTCTGATGCCATGTGAGAAATCACGGATCTTCACAATGGTATGATATTGTTCACTCTGAGCAAAAGATCTCATACTCATGACTTTGCTTTGGGTATTCTTCACTTATAAACCTCTTCCACTAAATTAACCAATCTGGGGACTCACTCCCAATAATCCTCAACAATCGTACGTTAGATGATCTCTGACGTATGAAGATGATCTTGGCTCGAGAAATAAGGAACCGGGTTATGTCGCTAAGTCATTAGGTAACGAGTTTCAATTTTAAATTATGATCCAAATCTTAAATGGGGTCGACTTTATTTGGGAGTGAGTTGAGGTGGGTGTGGAAGCACCAACAAAAAGAAACAAGAGAGAGAGAGAGAGACACGCGTGAGATTCATCTCTGCGAGTTGGCCTCTCCTGTCTCTAACAAAATCTTTCTTTATAAAATATATATAATATATATATATATATATATATATATATATATCTTTAGCTTACCCTTTAATATATGCTTACTTGTCATTCCACTCTCTCTTGGTCGACATGGTTTGGTGCCTATGCCACCATTCTCTTTTTTTGCATGTAAAATGTGTTACTTTTTTTGTTCTTTTCCTTTGCAAATTGTTCATTTCTCCATATTAATCGATTATTTCTAGTCCCTACCCCTATATTTTTAGGGCATGTGTCTCTTTCTCGAGCGCACAGGAAGTACATTGAGCTTTATCTTATTCACCTCACAAAACATTCGGTTCACTCTTTTAAAATAAACTATAAGGCTAGTAGATATTGTCCTCTTTGTGTTTTCCCTTCCAGACTTCTCCTCCAGATTTTAAAACACGTATGTTAGGAAGATGTTTTCACACCCTACACCCTTATAAAAAATACTTCATTCCTCTCTCTAATCGATATGAGATCTCACAATCCACCCCCATTCGAGCCCCAACGTCCTCGCTGGCACACTGCCTAATGTCTAACTCTGATACCATTTGTAACAGTTCAAGCCCACCACTAGCAAATATTATTCTCAAGGTTTTAAAACGCGTCTACTAGGAAGAGGTTTCCACACCCTTATAAAGAATATTTCGTTCTCCTCTTCAACCAATGTGGAATCTCACATAAACCGACGTATACTTTTGATATAATTTTCTAAATTTGAAAGTATGTCATACTATAAATTATTTATATCACATGGGTTACATTTTAAAATAAAGATAAGACGTTAAACAAATTCTCTTATCTTATATCGTCATGTTTCCATTACCCTAAACTACTTTTTAACTAAGATTAAGCCTTTAATACACATAAATACAAACCATACAGTTATTTTTGTATTAAAAAAGAAACCAAATATGACATATTTGAAGATAATATAAATTAAATGAGTTGCAATCAGTTGGAGCATCATCTCCATTAATGTTCAAGTGGTCATCCACCTCAAAAATGGATTCTCTATGCATGCCTCATACACATATATTATTTATTTATTTATCATGATGTAACCCGTCAAGATTTAAAATTTAGATCCTCGCACTCGTGTGAAACAGACACTGAAATGATATTGATGTGCTAACAAATATATGTTTCGTATGTATGTTGGTTACCTTTTTTTCGTCCCCTAATCATGAAACTCATCCCGAAATTCACTGGAGGCTTGTCCCGTCTTCGTAATTAAAAGTAGGTCGAGTAAATTGACTGATAAGATTTTTTTTCCATTTCATCAATTATAATTTTTTTTAAAAAAAAAATGATTAATTTTTCTCCAATTTAAAAATTAAAGCAAAAAAGAAAAGGAAATCTTTTTTTAATTTTTTGTGCGTGACACGTTTCGAAATCCTAACTAAACTCTGGAACTGACTAAACGACAAAGCGCGATTACTGCTCAAAGACGATCTTACCCTCCCCACCACGTTGAAATAAAAAAACTGGAGACTGATTTCTGACCGTCCGATTGAAAAATGAGTATTTTTGGAAAATATTAAAAGAATAAATATTAGAGATATTGTTGTGTGTAGATTTAGATAAAGATATGCGCATGATGCAAATAGTACTGTGGGCTTGGCCCACGGCCCACTAGCCACAGCTTTGTAATAAATAAATCATTAGTAAATTGATTTTTTTTATAAAAAAAATATATTAAATATTTAATTTTATATTCGCATGCACTGAGATCGTACGGCTCTCAATTCCTTTGTTTGGCCCCACCAATTTCTGATTTTGTTCCCACAAATATTTTATATCTTATTTTTTTGGTAATATTTTATTAGTTAAATTTAAATTTTAAATTTTAAATTTTATGTCTATTTAATTATTATACCTAAAAAAAATAAAATATTTAGATAGCTACTTTTTTTAAAAAAAAATTAAATTTATCGAGTATCAAATACAAAATACAAAATTTATAGATATAGGTATAAATCTCGATTATTTTACGAGGTCAATTGTAATTACATCTAATCTGGTTTTAGCCACCGGTAAATTTTAAAAAAGATCACTTGGAGTATGTTCTTTTGTGTCGATATTTTTATTGGGCAATATTTTTAGTTGAAATATTTTAGA